ATTCTAAAATAAGAAAGAAATGTACGCGTAAATAAACTTATGTATGTAAATAACATTTGAATTTAAAACATGACAGTGTCAGGCATTGCATTCTATACTCTACAAAGCTCAATCGGGACTTTTCACCATTTACCTTCGGTCCTGATTGAATGGCTTATCCCTATATCATAAAAATTACTTAGGATAGATTACATTACAGATAGCGCTCTTTAGTGATACCATAATAATAGTGGACCATAATAATAGGATAACGCCCTTGGAGAATGGGATTTCGGCCTCTCCCATCCCCACTGCCCATCGTCTATCTCCAGTCCTCGTGGCGCCCTCGTGGGACGAAGAGGTGCGACTCCGCAGACAGGCGGGTGCGGGTGCGGGCGTCCGGCGGCTATCGATTCCGCGCCGGCTGATGCATTATGCCCTTCCCGGCCCGCCCCGCCCCGCCCCGCCTCGCCTCGCCCGGTGGTGGCGGTGAAGTGGCCTGGCGGAAAACGAGATCGCCCGCAGCCAACAGCTCGTCGCGCGTCGTGCGAGGGGGCGAAGGTCGCAGGACAGCATGCACTTGTTAGCAGCTCGCAATGGTCACTGCAAAAGTAGAACGTGACCATTCACCCTCCCGACTAGAATAATACATTGCTCACGTGATAAACGTAGGTACGGCTTTATATTTGCTCCATTCATACAAATCGAATTTGAAGTCTGGGTAATAATGCATAACTCTTCCTTTTGTGTAGAAAAGAATAAAAGAAAAAAATGATTATTACCTCAGTTTTCATATAATTTTGTACAAATGAAGTAAGTATATTTACATTTAATGAAGAGGCTGCTTTAATCTTTTGAGGAGAACAAAATGATTCATAGTTTTGCTGTTTTTGCCACTTAGTATTCTTGTGAAATAGTTATACAGAGATGTAATAAAAGACACAAAGAATATTAAATTTCATATATGTGATAAATTAGTGAGGCATTACTCACAAATGTAATGAATTGGCAACGGCCTTCACCTAGCGTTCCTTGTATTCGTGTTACATCACGAATTAAAATTCAAATGAATATGCAAAGCGATTTCGATTGCTGTTACGCGTCAGTAGCGGGTGCTGGGTAGATATGGTTGTCGGAACATCTGCCCTCCCTTTGCAACAACGAATTTTCACGTCTTAAATGAAATTGGAACTCTCCTGTGCACATAAACATTCATTCTGTTCCATCAAAAACGCGTACGCTTTGAGCTTATTGTGTTTCACAAATAATAATTCACGCGTTTTGATTTGGAAAATGACCGTGCTATGTAGTCTGTTATGGCGTACCGTGGGAAACGATATTTTTACTCCTGAAAACAAGGAAAAGTACATGTATGCTCACAAGTTATTAATAGATTCTGCGTTGCTCTTAATTAACATTTGCAATTATTGCAATATTCCAATTACAACAAAGAATTATTCGTACTTTAACTAGATGACAGCTATTCATTGAATCAGCAGTGAGAGCTGCCTAATTACATCTTACACGTCCTTTATTATTTGATGTATGTTGAAGATGTGCTCCATCCATAAGTCTAAAAAATAATTTGTAAAAAAGAAACAAGAAAAATGAATCCTGCTTCGAAATCTCTTTGACTTAATTTTTCTTTGTTGGTTAATGAAATTGTAAGAACGCTGTAATTGGAATGTAATAAAAAATGTCCATGTGGATGGTCGCCTCGTAAATTCGTTATGCCCAGCGTAGATAATTATGTTGTTGGTAAACCTGTACATACATTTTTAACAGCAAAAGCTGACCACAATCAAAAACTGGCCGTATTTCTGGCTACATTCATTTTTTCTAAAAAATGTTCTAATGAAAGTATATCAATAACTGATATTATAGATTTTATATAATTTTGAGGATGTGATAGAAAAAAAATAGTGTATATTTATTTAACGACAGAAACACTATTTCAAACTTTATGTGACGTGTGACGCATAAGTAAACTTTTCTTGAACACAGGCATCCCAATCCTTCTTCTTGTACTACAATTGAACTACGAATGAAGGTGGCAATAAGTGTTTGTAAGGGATATCAATGTTTTATATTCAGATACAAAGTAGACAAATTAGCACATGAAAGACTGCACTTTTTATTATCTAATACGTCGTTTTGTGGCAATTATTAGTCAATTATATAATTGGTTTTGATCTGGACTCAATATTGCGAATGAGTCATACTTAACATCCCAGTGACGTGGGCAACCTCGTGAATGTCATTTAACATCGACCGTTTTCTTGGATCATAAGTATTGTTTCTCTTCGAATTTAACATTACCAGATAATAACGAAACATTGTCGAAGGTATGTACAAAACAACACATTACATTTGTGATGTGACTTTTTGTGAAAGTTATCCTTGTAAATAAAAAAGAAACATTAACTGTCTAAAATTAAATGGAATCATGGAAAAAAGAGTTTTTAAGAGGGTTCCATTCTTAAGAGGATCCCACGCAATGTACGATACATTTTTGGGGAAATAACCACGCGAAGAATGTGTATGTCATTTGCACTTTTCTTTAGAGGAATCGTCTTGTATTGACATTGCTTACAAACGTGTCTTCTACAAATTGTGTTAACAGGATTAAAGAAGTGAATGCATTCGATGAAATCATAAGAAATGTCTCAGTGACATTGTAGAGTTAATTTTAACACGAAGATTCAGCATTTAAATATCAAAATTAGGAAGCATCAGGCTTACATTTTCTTTCCACAGCTTACATTTTCTTTCGGTGGGGTTTGATAAGTGAATGCAAGACTCACGAACACTCAAGGTGATTGACGAAGATTTTTCTACGCAACATCGCGTAAAATCAAGATTTGGTACTTCACCATTCTATTCATCGGAATGAGCTGTAAATAATATTTGCATTTGTATTCTCATCAGCGCGGGAGTTGGCTGAATTCTGATTGCCAGTGCTCCTCTGGAGAGAAGTATGAATGCGACGTTTTAGGCAATTTTGTTGGAACATTTTGTTAATCGTTGAGGAGATGACGCAATAAAATAAGGTTTCCAGAATTTAGATTTACACAAGAACGTAAATCAAGCTAATTTAATTTTCAGAAATGAATAATTATAATTTATAATAATTGTAATAAATTAGCGTTTATTTTTTAATTCCATTTCTAGATTTTTCAAATATTTTGCATTCAACTTAAAATCAGATGATATTAGAGAATGGTATGGATAATTAATTTCCTGTTTCTTTTCGACTGTGAAAAGGGTTTGTTTTTGCCCAATCAACACACGCCACAGTTCCAATAATGACCCACCCTCAGAGACGGCGCCGTGCTTGCAGAAGCAACAGATGGCTCCTGCTCCCGCCTGCCCTGGCGCCGAGAAAGCGAGCAAGCTAGCCACGAGCCATCCAGGGACGTACGCATATCATTAGGCGGGATTACGTCCCTTTTTGTTTTGTTTCCGGTGGGTTTTATTTCTTGGTCTTCGTAATAACTCCGAAGCTTGTGGGATATTGTGCAGCAGCTTTACATACTGATTGTGAGTTGTGAAAAAGACTGCTTTGTTGGCAAAAGACCCCTCGTCGCGTTTGGGAGTACCCCACACTGAAGATCATCTCTAGATGATGACGACAGTGTGGTTTGAAGGTAATGATTGCATGTAATCATTCCTACATTGTGATGTCTGGTCGCTTCCATCTTCCGTCATCGTTTCCGTGTATTCATTTCATGTTGTGTTGCGAGTTGACATATGGTTTTGAAGTGTTTTTTTAATGTCTTTATGAATGCTGATATTATTTCTAAAGATACTGCTCTAGATATGAAATCCAACTTTTCTACTTTACTTATTTTTATTTCCGAATGGTGAAAATATTAGTAAGAACTGTACTGAAATCTCGTCTGCATCTCCCAACCCCTTTGCTTATTATTCTCCTGTTTGTAGTGAATGTTACTGTAGAGGGTGCTTTCCTCCCCCGCTGGTACGTGATATCCGGCGCCCACCTACACGTTTTCCTCCTCCGAGTATTGGTCACTGCGGGGCACATCGCCAGTCGGGTCGAGCTCTAAATTTCCGACGGGTCTCCCGACACGCGTGGCAGAGTGGTGGCTGAATTCCACATACGTATGTAGCTTTCGCAGAAAATCCGTCACGGTGGGGTCTCGAAACCTAGGACCAACCGCACAGACAGCAGCGCCACCTGCAGCCTCCCCGTCGGGGCGGCGCCTCTGCATACCGGTGTGGACTGCTGTCAGCTCCCCGCGCTCCGAGCGTTTTCTGCAGCGCTTGCGTGAAGCCAGGAGTGGCAAGGTCGAGGTTCGCGGCCCCTCGCGCTTCCGCGTGCAATTCGATCGGAGAGAACGCACCGGAGGACTGCAGTTGGCCGGGCGGCCGTGCGACCAGCGACTGAGGAGTACTGGCTCTCCTTCGCCACTCCGCGAGGACAGTCCATGGCGCGTTGCTCCCCGCCGTTCAAATGCCGGTTTAGCCATGCGGATTTTGTAATGGTCAAATGCAGCGGGATTCGTGGGGGTTTCTCCCGTTCCTTATTTCATTCCCCTGTTGTTCCGTCATCAGTGAAATGAAATATCACCATAAGCATGCATATCGGGTATGAAATCGAAAAGGCGGTGGACAAGCGGACAGGGGATTCCAAGGTGTCACTGAAGAAGCGGCGGTCGCCTGCGTGCTCGCCTGCGTGCACCACTCTTAAGTTGTCGTAATAAACCGCGTCCCATGGGCGGCTGGCGCGGGGAGGGGGTGCGTGTGAGGGGCGGCCTGACCTAGCCGCACGGCCCCCACCCGCCGGGCGCGCGCGCGGGACGTCGCCGCGCCGCCGCCCGCCTCTGCCTCTGTCGCAGGCCCTCGGCGGCGCGACGGGGCTTTCGGGCCGGCCGGAGGCGTGGCCGGTCCGCTCCACCGTCGTGCACACGAGTGCAGCGGCAGCGGCGCGGGCCGCGCGCGGGGAGGGGCGGGTAAATAGACGCGCTTGCGGCCGCGGCACTCATTCGTGGCGCGCCGCCATGGAGGACCTGTGGCAGACACACGCAGAAAACGTGGCTCAAGAACTGCTGCTTGGCTTACCAAGACCGCCCGCCGGCGCCTCGCGCCGTCTAGGCGCGACGCGGTGTTGCCCGGCGGGCGCGCAGCCGCCCAGCAGCAGCCGTGCCGCCCGCGCCGCCGCCGCTCGCGGCGCCCTGCGTCGCGGGGGTAAGCCACGCCGCACGCGCCCGCCCCGCCCCGCCCCGCCCACCGCTCCCCGCCCCGCCCACCCGCGCCGCCGACGCCGCGCGCGCCGCCCGCACCGCACTCTCGCACGGCGCGGCGGCGCTCGCACCCCTGCCGGCGCCTAGTCGGCACCGCGCGCCCTCGCCCGCCGCCCGTGGGCGTCAGGTGCGGGACGGGCGCTCCGCGACGGCTGCACGCGCGTGCGCCATGTCGCTGGCGCAGCACACGGCCCTCCCAAGCGCACAGAGCGAGCTGAGCGTCCCGTGGTTTCGCGCCCGCGATCGATGCCCGGCCGCTGGTCCAGCGCCATGAGTCTCCGCAGGAGAGGTACTCGCGTTCGCAGTGGCAGTGCACCCGCGCCCTCGCTGGCCTTTCGCGTGCGCGACTTGCAACTCGTGCAGAAGCGCGCGGATCTTCTCGTATTTCTAGTGGGTGTCGACGTGCTGAGTTTTCGACACACCGCTCATTGCAGTTGTGTGTTATCATTCAATTGAGAATTGCCGAGCGAATTACCAAACTGCCCTTTTCTTCTCCGTTCACTTGTTCTCCAAAAATTCGTCGGAATTGTTTTGTGTTTGAAGTGAAAATAAAGTCAGTGTTTACGTTGTACCTGACTGTGCAATATCCTATGTTAATGGTGACTTCGACTATTGTGATGCAATGACAAGTGTTCCTTCCCGGAAGTGTTTTTTGATACATTCATGACTTCTGAACTTGTGCATAAATTAGCGCGATCTTCTAATATTTCTAGTGAGTGTCGTCGTTCCTGGTTTTGGACGAATCAGACCGTTATTATACTACATTATCACGCAAACTTTTGCGCCATGAGTGGTTTAATACGCTAATGATTTGGAAACGGTGCACAAAGCACCTGTTTAATTAATTGAGAATATTATTAAATTAAATGTGAAAATGTTGTCCTCATTTGAAAATCTATATGGATTACGCGACGTGTACCAAACAGTGGCATGTGAGTTGTTGTCCGTAGAAAACAGCCTCGTTTCACGAGTAGTAAGTTGGACAAGATATTTGGCCTCTGAGAGTTCCCCGTGAGTGCCAAGTTGCGCCCTCGACCCCCTGGTGTCAACTCCAGGCGCACACGTGCTTTGCCATCCGACAGATGCGAGTCTTCGATAGATCCGCGGCGTGCGCGTTTTCTCTCGATTTCACCACGAGTGTCTTCCCTCACTGGCCTCTGGTGAGCCAAAATCGCGGCCTGTCTGCGCTTCAACAGTACCTGAACACAGTACAACTCATCGCATTCAGGCGAGGATGAAAATCGCTCGAAACCTGTTTTAGTTGATCAATCGTTAATTTTATTTGTGGTTTCTGGCCACTGCTACCCTGCCCTTTCTGGTTGTTTCGGTGGTGCATGGTTTTCAGAGTTACTCCACGGGAAGGTTCTAATATTCATGTTCTTTTACCGCTGGCAAGTCCTAGAAGTAAACGACTTCAAAATTATTTGTCCCACCCCATGTCAATACTATTGGAAAACCTTCAACGAAACTTTTGATTGTGGATTGAGATAGTTTCTCCTCAGCTTTTCATAATTTAATACTGTTAACAGCGTACAGGCAATATAGGAATAAGTGTGTAAGGTTCCCTGTTAATTCATCCGAATAGAATCTGCTGCATGGAATATAACAGACGTTTCTTGATGTAAGGTATAATTTTCTGCGAAAAGTTAAACGTTCAATTCATTTGTTACATCAGGAAAACATTACGATAATGACAATAATGAAAAATCGATGGTCACATCATTTTGCTATTCCTTTCCATCTAATGCTGAAACTTTGTGGTCATTGGTAGACGTAAAGTATTCACGTTTTTCGATATATTATTCTGGGAGCTATCAGAATCTTGAAACACTAGGCAACAGCTCGAATTACCCTTACTGTATGTGACTTATGTTTTGGAGAGCAGTAATTCGTCCATATTGAAAGGAAGCACCATGTACAAATTTGACGTTTCTTTAGTAAGTACATGTAAATTAAATTCTTGTAATTATTATTATATACATTAATTTAGTTATACAATATTTTGCAATATTTTTTCTCGAAAAAATTGGAATCCAGCAATGTTTTAATGGAATATCCCCTGGACACTTGAACAGGCTCTGCGAGAGTTAAAAAAAAGTTATTCTTTGCGTTTATGCATCAGACGAGGCCTCGAGCTGCGCCCCGCGGGGGAACGTGAGTGGTCGCGCGCAGTCGCCGCGTCAAGTGCGCGACGCATTTTCCGTTTCATACTGAGCGCCTCCCGCGCCGCTGCCTCCACTCGCTGCTCCGCGCCAACGCGAGGGGAGGAGGGAGGCGGTACGCGAAGCGGCGGATAATGACGTGGCGAACGCTTAATTTCCGCCCCCCCCTTCCGGAGACTTCACGCCAGAGTTGCACAGTCAAGGGAATCGGGAAATAAAGAAGTCATTAGGTTTTGCATGTTTCCATTTCCGCGGTATATCTGCAAACTTGGGAAGAAGTCTGTGCATGGCCGCCAAGCGCTAGAAGTGGAACTCAGAGAATTAAAACATTAGTTGGGTAAACAAACATTTTTTGTATGGTCGAGAATTGTTTATACGATTTCCTTCAAGATACTCGCCCTTGAGCTCTGTTAATATATTCGGCATAATTAATAGTCTGTAATAGATAAAATAGGAAAGACAATCGGTGACGGTGGTGCTGTAACTACCCCGGGAAAGTACTAATCACTTTGTTCCTACGGGACTTATCAGTAATAATTTTCACCATTGCGCATGGTAATATCGAGATAAATATCGAGGCGAACACAAAAGGTGAATGTTCTTCGTCTCCGACGGGTATTTAGAAAATAAGCGTTGCATTTTCTTGTTAGCTTCGTATAACTCAATGTATAGGATTACTTTACCACTGGAAGAGCAGTGTCACTTTAAAAATAAACAATTTAACAAATGCCGTAGTTTAAGACAATTATATTTTATCAACAGTTATTTTTATTCTATCTTTTTCTGTGTAAGGAGTTCATTTCCTTATTAAAAATAATGGTTTTCTATAGAGTAGGATGCTAATTGCATTGCCATATCTTTCATAGTGTTACTAACATAACTTCGAAACCACTGCCACCCACTCAATAGAACTGATTTCTTTAACGTATCTTATTTCCAAGTTCAAAATCAGGATTCTGGTTATAACCGGAAGGTCCCACCCCCGCACACACTCATCCACACATTCGCCACTGGCGTGAGTGGCCGAGTGCCTTCTCGTTCCTTTGCAAGAGCAGTGGGCTGTTGCTGATCAGAGCGTGGGTGTCTGTTGCAGAGAGCGGCGCTGCGGACAGCGGCGCCTTGTGGAGCCAGGTGTCTGAGATGGTGGGCTTCTTCACGGCCGGCGCCGAGTCCCCGCCGCCGGGCCCTGAGCCGACAGGCGCGGGCGCCGGAGCAGGCGCGTCGCCGTCAGCCGACGGCAGCTCGCCCGTAAAGCGCGTCGTCTGCTCGCCCGACCTGCCCGTCTTCTCGCTCACGCACGCGTTTGAAGAGGCCGCGGCTGCGGCTGCGGCGGCGGCCGCGGCGGCGGTGGCCACTTCCTCCATGCCAGGTGCGAGTCACACACGATGCTTTGGGTGGATAGAGGCCTCATCGCTGGCCTTCTACTTCTGGGGACCGGGGTTCAAAGACCGGGCTGACCCCATGGAATGGGTGGTCGACAAAGCGGGTTCCCCCGTGTCCCCCGACTTATTTCACCATTGCTCCGCCAGCATTTAAGACTACCCATTCGACAAAATTATCATCTAAGGAGTAGCTAAAATCGTTAGGATTTGAGGATGAAAATGGAGTTACATTACAATTTTAACTCTTTATAGTATGGCAATGCCCAGATGGCAGAGTTACACAAGACTGATACACAAAACTCTCAACATTCAAGGATCGCCTTTGAAATGAGTAGACTGTTCGCGAGGGATTTGTGCTTGGTTACAAATTTCATTCCGTTTGCACGAAGGAAAGAGTGGAAGGGTCTTGACAGGGGCGGAGTAAGCTACCCGCGCGGCGTCGGCGTGTGATGGGTTGCGTCATCCCATTGCAGGGGACCCCCCCCTTCCTGAGCTCGCGTCTCCTAGACTTAGAAGTTGAAAGATATTTAGGTTCGGGTACCAAACTCCAGTTCGCAATGAAAATAATAGGGTTACAACGAAAGGAGGAATATGCTTTTTCGTAATTTCAATTATTATAGGTTATTATAAACATGTTTCTTCAACTTCAGTTACGCAGACAATCAGTTACGCAGACATTTTCTTCCCTTGCAATTGGTAGCAACTAATATGATGCAATACCTATTTAAGCAGATAATGAAACATCTCTTAACCAGAAGATAAACATTATATAGGTATTATCAATTGTAGATTTGTTTAGCCTATGTAAAGTACATTTAATGTACAAAATAATCAGGTGGAATGAAAGAGGGTTAAAACATATGAGTCGTCAAAGACGACGAAGAGTGAGAGGAAAACTTGTGTTTGACGGCGGCCGTGGTCCTTCCGCTTGCAGTGGACAAGGTGGCGGCAGCGGGGGCGGCGTCGGGGGCGGACCCCCTGGAGTGCGCGCTCTGCCGGAAGGTGTTCCCGCACCGCAGCGCCTTGCAGGCGCACGCACGCGCGCACGCCCGTGCCGACGGTGGCGCGGACGCGGCGGCGGCTGGTGGCGGCGGCGCGGGCGGAGGAGGCGGCGGAGCTGGCGGCGGCGGAGGCGGAGACCCCTACCGTTGCAACATGTGCGGCAAAACGTTCGCCGTTCCCGCGCGACTCACGCGCCACTACCGCACGCACACGGGCGAGAAGCCCTACTCGTGCGAGTTCTGCGCAAAGAGCTTCTCGGTGAAGGAGAACCTGTCGGTGCACCGGCGCATCCACACCAAGGAGCGTCCGTACAAGTGCGAGGTGTGCGAGCGCGCCTTCGAGCACTCGGGCAAGCTGCACCGCCACATGCGCATCCACACGGGCGAGCGGCCGCACCGCTGCGACGTCTGCTCCAAGACCTTCATCCAGAGCGGCCAGCTCGTCATCCACCGGCGCACGCACACGGGCGAGAAGCCCTACGTGTGCAAGACGTGCTCCAAGGGATTCACGTGCTCCAAGCAGCTCAAGGTGCATACGCGCACGCACACGGGCGAGAAGCCCTACTCGTGCGACATCTGCGGCAAGAGCTTCGGCTACAACCACGTGCTCAAGCTGCACCAGGTGCGTAGCCTTCCTCAACCCAAGACCTTGCTTGGAATACGCAAGCAACCATTAAATCTGTTTTACAGAATAACGTTAGAGAATCAAGTAGGGTTTAGGTAAAGAGTTATAAAAAGAGAGTAAGCGTACGGTAGTTTTTTTGTATGGAGAAGAATTGCTAGTACAATTCCTTACACGTTATTACCTCGAACTCTCAGTTGATGTTCCAGCATTTGTTAATGTTCATCAGTAGAAAGTAAATAAACCAATAAAAATTAATGAGAAATAAGAAGTATCATTTCTAAATTATAGAAATAATTTTATATTGCTTATATCAATTTTTGAACCGAGAACTGGTTGTAACAAGAATCTCTTCACTGTTCCAGGTGGCGCACTACGGAGAGAAGGTGTATAAGTGCACCATCTGCAACGAGACGTTCACTTCCAAGAAGACGATGGAGGGGCACATCAAGAGCCACGCGGAGCCGGGCGGCGGTGGGGGTGGGGGCGGGGCGCGAGTGTCTCCGCCGGCCACCGCCTCGCACTCCTGCCTCCTCCTGCTCCTCACAGCGACAAGGAGAACCGCCGGGGCGAGGGCGACAGCAGCGACTCGGGAGGCGCGCAGCAGCGACGGCGAGACTCCTGCCCTGCCCGCGCCGCCCACGCACCGGCGCACCGCCCACGCGTCCCCCCCGAGGCGCCCCCCGCGGCCGCGGCCTTCGCGCCGCCGCAGCTGCACCAGGTAAGCCACGAACGAATGCTTTCACGCCAACCGCCCTTTTCTTTATCTTAGCCCGAGAGGTTTTTCACAGCCAACGTGAATAACTCCTAGGACTATGGAAACGTGGTTGTCGACGCTATTGGAGTAATGTTCTTCACGCTAGAATTTTCAAAATGATACTTTGAGACCTTTTAATACAATGTTTTGATGTTGGGTTCTCCTAGGTATCAACACTTCGCGGTAAGGGTGAGGGTTGCAGTATCTCGAATTCAGTTGAAGTACCTTTTTGTAACATCGTTTTCCCTTTATACGCATGCGGGATGAAAGGGTGGAGAGGCAATGAGGGCTTGTGTCCAAGCGAGAATTCTCAGATTGCAACGCTTGTGTGATCTTAATGAAACAAGACCTTTCGTGAGCGCGTTGAAGTCTAACAGAATGTTCTTCTCGCAGACGCAGCACCTGTGGCACCAGCCGCAGCAACAGCAACAGCAGCAACACCACCACCACCACCAGCAGCAGCAGCAGCACCAGCAACAGCCGCACCAGTCGCCGCAGCAGCAACCGCAGGCGGCGGCGCCCGCGCCGTCCCCGCTGCCGCCGATGCAGGCGCCGGCGCCCGCCACCTGGTACTACCTGTACCCGGGCTACTCGCCGGCGCTGCTGGCGGCGGCGGCGGCGGCGCGGCGCGGCGGGGGCGGCGCGGCCGACGAGGACATGGAGGAGGACGAGGGCGCGGGCGGGCTACCGGCAGTGACGGAGCCGCCCGTGTACGTGTGCCCTGAGCCGCTGGGCGCCATGCACCTGGGCGGCGCAGGCGCGGTGGCGCCGCCCCCCGACGGCTTCGGCGAGCCGTCGCCCGGCCAGCGGGGCAGCGCGCTGCTCACGCCGCCCTACTCCAACCCGGTGTCGCCCGCCGCGTCGCCGCCTGCCGCCGACCCCGCGGCCGCCGCCGTCGCCGTCCCCACGCCCCGCGATGAGTCTGTGTTGCCGCCCAGGAAGCGCAAGATGATCCTCAAGTCCATGTCGGACTGCGCGGCGGCAGCGGAGGCGGCGGCGGCGGCGGCGGCAGCAGCGGCGGCGACGGCACCCGAGCCAGCGCTGGTGCGCTACAGCTCCGTCATCCAGTACGCGCGAGCGTCGTAGTCGCCTTGGGCCTCTCCGCACGGCCTGCACCAAGCCTGAAAGAGGGACCGTCGGCGGGTTGACCCCCACCGCGCCCCGGACGCCTGTAGATGCCCCGTGCCGCGCCCAGTGCCATGTACGAGTAGCGTAGGGCGCCACGCCGTCACGGGCGCGGCCCATCAGTGCACGGGGACCGATGTTTGTGTGCGTCTACTTTACAGTTAAGATTAATTCGCCGCCGGTTCACGCGTTCGCGCACGCACACGGCACAGGCTGTCTCGAGAACATTGGGACCACGTGACCTCCGCTCTTTGGGCAGGGGATCTCCGTCTCGCGGACAGCGAGTTCCTTCTAAATTCCTGGGCTTCTCCGAATCGTACATTCCATCGCTCTGCTGCCTCGGGGCCGCGCGTCGTGGCCGCCCGCGGAGGCAGCCTGTGTCCGTAGCGCCGCCGGCTCCGCCTGTGGACGCCGTTCTACGCGTAGAGCAGAACTGTTCACTGAGTACAAATCTCGCTTTAACTCCGCCGCTCGCCCGCCCGGCTCCGGCTCCGGCTTCAGCCTCGCCCCCGCGGCTGGGACTCTGGACAGCCCTCTGTCTTTCTCTCTACATTGCAGATGCATTTACATCACACATACAAAGGTGCCATATATTTTCTGTTTCTTGATATATGAATTTACTTTTCCATTCGTGGTTGTGGACTCACTATGTAGTTTCCAAGAAAAATCGATCGCAAAGAATCTGGGAGAATTTCCAAAAATGTTACGTGTTTTCCAACTTTCAAGGCCTTAAATGACACTTTGTTTTTGACATGAGGGCTACTAGAGTTGAATGCTTTTGAGAGAAGTGACCGTCCAAAGTCCCACGCCTATACGTGTAAGCACAAACAAATTGTGCTGTCCTACGCACTTTCGAAGGCCAGGGTCGCAGAACGTCTTAACAGCCAGCACAGAATAAATTATTATAAAAATGGGAAAGTAATACAATCGAGCAATGGCTCACAAACCTGTTGGTTCACCGTCTCGATCTCGAAAAAACAAAAACAAAAAAAACTTAAGTTTCTTCTGGGATTCGTGAGACGATTTGATGAAATAAAGACTTTCTGCTTTGTTGATCGGGATCATCTGTCTCCTCGACCTGGTGGCCCCGATATCGCGAGGGGCTTATGGCTGATTGAGAAGCAAGACCCCTCCACAAGCATTTCACGCACAAGCCCTTCCAAGCACCCAATCATTGTTAACACTTGGCCGCGCCAGGGGTATGTAAATCCCGTGATCTAGAAGAGCTGTGAAAGGGTGGATGTTCGATATCTCAAATCTGAAAGGGAAAAGCGAAATTTGTAAAGAATTTTAGAAGCAATTTAAAAAATTCGTTCGCTTTTAAGGGAAGGTGGTTCCCATACCTTTGACTGTAAGGAAAGAGGGAGAGGGTATTGATGATAAAGGGATGTTCATTACATTTTTGATATTAAATTTCTAATTTTAAACTAGTTATTAACCTTTTAATTAGTCATGCATTTTTGTTATTAAATTTGGAAAAAAGTTTTGAAACTAATATAAAATTCAAACTGTTTATGACGACACCTTGTTTAATTCAGGAACAGGGAGGGGGTCCTAAAAGGAACATTCACCTCACAGAGGTGCGTTTCAAAATGTTTCTAAGGGGAAAGAAGGGATTGTAAAGAAGGTAACTTTTGTTGCATGGAGAGTGTTAGAGGTGTCGGCACGCTGCGTGCGAGAGGGGTCTGCTTCTCTCCGATGCCAGGGCGCGCGAGCGGCGCCGTCTCAGGACGAGGCTCCTCCCCGGAGCCTCCCGCCAACTCATGTGCAGATACGTTGTTACATGTCACATATGTTAATGTCATAATTAAATAATATGTTATATCTGTTTGTGCAATTCTTACATTTTTCATAACTGTTGCCCTAGATTGTTTTCACGAAGATGTATCAGGTCTCGCTATCCGAAGAAGTTGTGCGAACTTAGTGAGGAAAGCAGTGGATGAAAGCCCTCGAAAAAACTTACACCAACCCCCGGTGGTGTAGCTTCGGAGGCGGTTCTACGGGGCACATTAGACTGATGCCGATAGCTTTTGAACACTTCTCTTCCTACTGTACTTAACTGTCATCGGAGGATCGAATTCATTATGTGGTAGATCGTCAGGGAATAAGATAATGTATCGGTAAATATTTCGGAATGAGATTCTCCTCACTGAAAAGCAGTTACTGCAACTAGAGTATTCGCTATCGGCAAATACGAAGAACGTATTCGCAACTGCCCCATAGAACGGACTCCGGAAAAAAGGGGTTGAACTGATTTCAAATGGAGTTGTATTAGTTGTTTTGTCTCAGTCATTTCAGTTTTTCACTGATATTCAGTGTCGCTCGAGTGATAGTGTACTAGTCGAGAGAATGCAGATTTATATTGCCATTCATACGTAGTCATACCTCAGAGCGCAGCTGGACAGCGGGTCTCGCACCCCGCCGCCCGCCCCGGCTCGCCCAATCGCCCACGCCCGCCAGGGATCTGTGGTGGGCGAAGAGCGGAGCGGTGGCGGGCGGGGGCGTGCCCGGAAGACCTCTTCCGATACCTCAGCGGCCTCGCCCTCCGCGCGAGCGCCGTCAACTCTTTCTACTCGGCCGCGCGCGCGCTCTGCGTGCGGCCCGCGCCGCCAGCGCAGACAATCCGACTCCTCAGATTCGTTCGTTGCAAGCGATGCATATGTATGTTTAAAATAAAGACGCTGTGTAAACCATAGAAATTCCTCGAGTTGTTTTCTCACCACTCCCCTTACCTATGGAACCTTCCGTAATTCCTTGACAAGCAGGGCGGGTCAAGAAAGTATTTCAAAGGGATACAATTTCATTTCAATCACTCCTCTTCTTAAATATGTATGCAATATCTTTTTTAAATTGTTAGCCGAAATTAAAACTACATTCAGGGTGGGAATTTTAATTTGGAAGTAATACCATCAATTTCTGGGAATTGTTTTGGATATATTTAATGAAATGCCAAATGTTCTATTGTTTAATGTAAGGACAACGGAAAGGAAGATTTATCGCCTAAAAATGCGATTAGCAATGACTACAGATACGTTTTTTAATAGTTATGAATTTTGAAAAATACACCGTAAATTGTTCAAATAAAACAGGATAATACCACAGTAAAATTAACAAACTAATTCATTTTCACATTAACTAATACTATACGTCATAAATGTATTATGGGTGTAAGAACTATAAGTAAGGAGTATCCTGCTTCCTATATTGAGGACAGTATATTAAAGACATTTACTACGTTCAGTAAGAGGTACCTGAATTTTAATCTAAATTTGCCGTACTATTAAAAGAAGGGCAGAAACTAAGTTTATACAATTACATACATACAATTCCTACATTACTGGGAAACTTGTGTACCAATAAATTGAGGAAGCTTAAGACATCGAAGAACACTCCTTACCTTCATCAAAGCTACTAATTAATGAATAGAGACAGGGTTTCCATGCGCTATAAAATACTAAAAGAGGCATGCACACATGCACTATCATAGCCTAACGCACACGGTGCTGGGTAAAAATTGACTGAACAAGCTCAATCAAAAATTAGTTTTGTATATTTTTTTAGAAGAGTGAACAAATCACAATTTTTCTCTGTCAAATTCATCCTTTTTGTCAGAAACCAACATTATTGAATGCAGGAAATGCATTCTACGTCACAAGACATAGTTGGAGCATACTTCAATTTTCAAATCTCAGGCATTGTGTGGTCAAACTTTTCGATTTTTCACCACAAATAATGTTGTTTTTTTAATTTTGGGGAAATTCCAAATTACGGTTTGAATTT